AAGCCACTGGTCAATGTGCTACGCTTTCACACACACACACACACACACACACACACTGCCGCAGATCAGCAAGCACAGCCACGACCACTGTTTGATCCGGTCAGCAGCAGCAGCAGCAGCAGCAGCAGTAGTAGTTGACCTAAAAATACCTCCATCACCAGCACCACCACCAACTAGTCCTCCTCACCACTTGTTCTTCTCCTTTTCTTCTTCTTCTTCTTCGGACACGACGCCAAGTGCTGTTGCTGTTGTCCTGTCGGGTGGTGGAGGAGAGGAAGAGAGAGTAGTACTCTAGTGCTCCACGTCTTAGCCCCGTCGCCGATCGTCGATCTAAACACAACTGAACACTGAACACTGAGTGCCGCACAATTGAAACACAGTGTCAGCCAAGTGAGCTAGGCAGCCAACAGGCAGAAGGCAGAAGGCAGCCATCGACCATCATCGGGGGCACCACCACCACCGCCGCCGCCACCACCAGCGAATTGAGCGGGGAGCGAGAGTATCCCCAACCATCCAGTCAGCCAACTTTTCTCTCTCTCTCTCTCTTCTTTCCTCCATCGGTGGTATTGTCGACGTGCCGCTAGAGTGGGAGAGAGAGAGAGAGAAGCGCAACAGCCTCGGCGAGTCCAACAATACCACCGCCGCCGCCGCTGCCACCAGCAACAACTGCAACTGCATCGGTGGCCACATCATCATCATCAGCAGCAGCAGTAGTATCATTGAAGAAGAAGAAGCTGTGTCGCCGGCGCCTGATCTCTTGAAGCAGCAGCAACAGCAGCGTCAGCCGTCATCCTCATCATCGTATCATCTCTTTCTCTCCAGCACTGACTGACTGACTGGTCCGTTGCCTGCCGTCAGCCACCACCACCACCACAGTAGACCGGCTGCCTGTTGCTGCCGCCGAAGAAGAAGAAGTAGAAGTGGAAGGCATCACCAGAAGGCGGAGCAGCAGCAGCAGCAGCAGTCTCTGGTGTGCGTGTGGAGTTGGATACATCGAGTGCGCCTGCCTGCCAGCCTCTGTGCCTTGTGGCACTCTCTCCGCGAACGCCGTCCTGTTCACGTCGACGTTGCCTCCTGCTCCGAAAAGACCAGAGCTTCAGCAGCTCTTTGGCTTTCAGCTTTCAGCTTTCCCTCTCCTTCTTCAGCTCTTCCACGTCCAACGCGTGTGTGTGTGTGAAATGAGCACCAGCTGTGATCAGCACTGATCACCCCCTCTGACTGGACACCACCGGATATCCCCTTGGCCCACGCCCGCCCCCACGACCCCGTTCACTGCATCACTCTGGACCCGACAAGCGGCCCACCTGGTACTGGCTTCTAACGGACTACACTCGGCACTTGGCACTCTCTCACCCTCTAACTTCCCTTTAACTTCATCCTCTTCCTCACCACCATCTTTAACTTTTTCTTCTCGAACGGTAAGTTCCTTTTGGTGCTGTTTTTGCAATGTGTTTGGAATGTTTGCCGCCGCCTGGAGCTTTGGATTTAAGAGGCTTTGGGCTTGGGGACTTTAAGAACTGCTTTCTAGTGACGTTTTAGTTTCAACCTGGCCCTTGCTCCTCGATCCTCGGCGAGAAAGTGCTTTGCTGGCACTACAAAAAAACTATCTGCATGGTCGCCGAGCAGTGTTGGTGGTGGTGGTGGTGGTTGTGGCCGACGATGATGATGATGATGATGATGCGCCACGACACGGCGGCAGCAAATTATCAGTGTACTTCAGCCGCCGCCGCCGCTGGAGCCTGTACTGCTGTGTAAGCGGCAATGTCGGCTACGTGTGCTGTGTCGCTGCTGCAGCTTACCACCACCGCCACCACCACCACATACACTCTCATCATCTTCATCTCCTTTCCTTTCCTTTCCTTTCCTTCTCCCTCTCATTCATTGCTGCTCAGTGCCAGTTGCTGCTGCTGCTGCTGCCTTCGCAGTGCTATCTATTCCCCTCGCTGACTGACTGCCTGCCAGCTTTGCCGGCTTGTCAATTCAGCTGTAACTGGTGGTGGTGGTGGTCTTGTGCACAGTACTCATTGGCCAGCACTGCCACCACCACCACCACGACGACGATTTGATGATCCTTCGGTCAATGTTTATCTCTCTCTCTCTCTCTCTCTCTCTCTCTCGCTCGCTCGCTGAACTGGTGGTGATGATCTGGCAGTGGTGCACTGCACCATTACCACCATCACCACCACCAGTCAGGGCCATCGCACTGCGACCAGTGTACACAGTGCACCCGCAGACGACACTCATCGTCTCCCACTGACACGTCGACAGATGTGTTTGCGTGTGTTGATGATCAAAATCAGATGGTTTAGTCGAGTCAGTTCAGTTGCCCGCTAATAGTTTGCAGCAGCAGTGGCTAGTTTTCACTTTGGATTTTGAGGTGCTAATGGTCACTGCTCACTCGATCAGTGCTACCAGTGATCTGCTGATGAGGTGTCGCACCGGTTGCACAGGACCTTTCCTGGCACTGGTTTGCCCTTTAATGATGATCACTGTGCAGTCACCTTACCTCATTCAGCCTGTGGTCATCAGTTGCTGAACACTGCTGCCGCTGCAGATTAGCCTTTAGCTGATAACAGTCGCCAGTTGGTGAGAGTTAGTGAGTGAGTGAGTTTCGAACTTGCGGTGGCGTACTCAGAGAGTACGTGCCCCCGCCTTTGCCTGTGCAATGTAAGACGCTGGTGCTGCAGCTGCACTTGTTGCTGATGTGTCCTATGTGTGTTGTTGTGGGCTGAGCTGTTGCCTGGCGGTGGTCCTCAAGCATTCTCTCCACTTGCGCACTCATTCTGCGGTCTGCTCATTCTAGCTTCTCTGAGCAGAGTCTGAGCAGCAACAGCAGCAGCAGCGTCTCTTCACCGCCTGCTCACCCTCTCTCCCTCTTTCCCTTTCTCTCACTTACTCACACACTTGTCTGCCGCGTGCTGGTGGACGGCCACCACCATCAACAATACTTTTCCTTTTTTCTTCTATGCCCAAAAGTTCCAATTTGTTTGTTGGCTTCCATACCATTTTTACCACTCACCTACTCACGTATTTCCTTATTCCCTTTTTCTTCTTCTTTTTGCGACAAACGCACCACCGCCACCTCAACTCCGCTTCTGAATGCAGCACAACGTGCAACTACCGATCATCAACAGCAGCAGCAGCAGCAGCAGCAGCAGCAGCAACAACAACAACAANGGCGACAAACGCACCACCGCCACCTCAACACCGCTTCTGAATGCAGCACAACGTGCAACTACCGATCATCACCAACAGCAGCAGCAGCAACAGCAACAACAACAGAAGCTTTCTTCATCGTTTCAGCAACATGGCTACCGAAGTACAGCAGGTCAATGGCGGCCTTGGCCTAGACACCGTTGTGGTGGACAGCAGCCACGTCGTGCCCAACATCAACGGCGACGTGGTGGTGGTCACCTCCAATGGCGGCCCTGCCACCGGCATTGACTCCTCCGCCTCGAGCTCCATCGGCGACGAGCCGGCGAGCATCGCCTCCTCCAGCTCAGCACCACCACCGGCAGCAGCCGCGCCCCAGGCCGTTCCCGTCGCCGTCGTCCTGCCCACCTACGACGACATCTTCCCGGCGCTGCCCGGCGGCCTCGGCGGCGGCGGCGGCGGACCAGGACCGGTGCCCTCCGGCGGCGGCGGACCCTCGATCGGGGGCATCAGCGCCGCGGCACGACTCGGCGGCGCCGGCAGCACCGCCACCACCACCCGCTCGGCAGTGGGCCCCGCCCTGCCGAAGATTCGCTCCAGCAACGTGCAGAAGGCGTACCGCGTGGCGCCCGAGGAGCGTCGCGCCCTGAACCGGAACCGCTTCGGCGAGACCTCGGAGCTGCAGAAGATCTGCTCGGGCATCATGGCCAGCACCGGCACCGACATTCAGCTGACCACCAGTCGCGACGGGACGCTGAACTTTCTCATCTCGGGCAAGGAGGACGCCACTACCAATGTAAGTGCTGATGATCGATGATTTTGTTGCTTAACATTTAGAAAGCTAATCAACACCCTTTTCTCTCTCTCCAGGCCCGTCGCATGCTGGCCAGTGAGTTTCAGGCGCAGATTACGCAGACCTTCAATGTGCCGAAGGAGCACCACCGCATTATTCTGGGGAAGGGCGGCGCGAAGCTGTCCGCCCTGGAGCAGTCCACCGGGACGAGGATTCAAATTCCCAAGCAGGACGACGACTCGACGGCGGTGCGCATCACCGGCACGCGCGACTCCATTGAGAAGGCCATCCACGAGATTCAGCTGATCAGCAATGAGGCCTTCTCGCGGCACATTGAGCGCGTGACGGTGCCCAAAATCTACCACCCCTTCATCACCGGGCCCTTCAACCGCCTCCTCGAGGCGATCAACCGCGAGACGGGCGCCAAGGTGAACGTCCCGCCGGTCAACGTGCAGCGCGACGAGATCAGCATCACCGGCGAGCGGAACGCCGTGCTGCGCGCCAAGGAGCGCGTCCTCGCCGTCTTCGAGGAGAAGAAGCGCACCTGCCAGACGGTGTCGATTGAGGTGAAGAAACCGCAGCACAAGTACATCGTCGGCCCGAAGGGCAGCACGCTGAATGAGATCTTCGAGACGACCGGCGTCAGCGTGGAGATGCCCAGCTCTGACTCGAGCGCGGAGACGATCATCCTCCGCGNGCCCCAGCACAAGTACATCGTCGGCCCGAAGGGCAGCACGCTGAATGAGATCTTCGAGACGACCGGCGTCAGCGTGGAGATGCCCAGCTCCGACTCGAGCGCGGAGACGATCATCCTCCGGGGGGAGCCGGAGAAGCTGGCCAACGCCCTCGCCGTGCTCTACCAGAAGGCCCACTCGGAGACGGAGGTGGAGATTGAGGTGCCCGGCTGGATCCAGCGCCACCTGCTCGGCCCGAAGGGCGTCAAGTTTCAGGAGCTCAATGCGGCGGAGTTTCCCGCCGTCAACGTCAACCTGGGCATTGACGAGGGCCGCATTCGCATGAATGGCCCGGTGAAGGAGGTGGCCAAGGCGACGGAGGTGCTGAAGGCGCGGGCGGCGGAGATTGCCGCCCTGCTCGCCATTGAGGAGATCAAGATCAGCGACGCGAAGCACATTAAGTTCATTGTCGGCAAGAATGGCGGCAATCTGAAGCAGATTCGCGAGGAGACCAACGCCACCATTAATGTGATTGACGAGGCGTCCAGCGGCGGTGGTGGTGAGAACCGAGCTTATGGTGGTGGAAAGTCGGGCNCATTGTCGGCAAGAATGGCGGCAATCTGAAGCAGATTCGCGAGGAGACCAACGCCACCATTAATGTGATTGACGAGGCGTCCAGCGGCGGTGGTGGTGAGAACCGAGCTTATGGTGGTGGAAAGTCGGGCGGCGGTGGTAGTGGTGGCAGCAATTCGCCGGGTGCCTCCAACCCGGCCCTCGGACCGCAGTTTATCCGCATCGAGGGCACCCGGGAGTCGGTGGCGAAGGCGAAAGCGGAGCTGCAGGCCCTCCTCAAGAAGCTGGAGAATGAGGTCAGCTACGAGCTGGTCATTGAGCGGCGCTTCTACGGGCAGATTATCGGCGCCAAGGGCGAGAAGATTCGGGACATTCGCAATAAGTTTAATCAGGTA